CCACCCCCCCCCTTCCCCAGGGACCCCTCACCCAGCCCCACGCCGGGGGGTGACGAGGGTGGGGTGGGTGCTGCGGGCGGGGGGTGCGCAGCCCCTCGCTGCCCCGGCACGGGCAGTGTCCCCTGTAAAGGGGGTTGGTTTAGAGGTCACATCTGCAGGTGACCTTGGGGACACCCGTCTCCCTGGGTGTCCCCGCTGTGTCCTGACATGGGGGGGGGGGGGGACTGGTGGCCACGGGCAGCGTCCAGCTTGGGCAGGGTGGCCTTGCCAGGTTCCTGGTGGGGAAGGGGCGAGTGCGGGAGGATGCACCAGTGGGGTCCCCCGCGGCCAGGGGGTGACATTGTCCCCATCCCACAGGCTGTTCCCCCCCCCTCAACCCCCCCATGTTCCGCTCCCGCCGTGCCGCGCTGGTGAGGCGGCTGTGGCGGCAGCGCTGTGGGGCGGCCGGCCCCGAGGACGGCCCCGGCGCCCTCAAACCGGCGGCGCACGCCCTCTTCAAGAAGCTGAAGGACGAGGAACTGGAGCTGCTGGTGCAGGCGGTGGAGAGTCGGGGCGCCTGGGACTCCGGCTGCGTCTGGGCGCCGCGGGGGGCCAAGCAGGCGCTGCCCCCCCAGGTCCTGCTCTGCCGCCTCTACCGCTGGCCCGACCTGCGCCAGCCCCATGAGCTCAAGCACCTCTGCTGCTGCGCGGGGGGGCGGGGGGGCTGCGGGGACACTGCCCTGCTCTGCTGCAACCCCCACCACTTCAGCCGCCTGGCTGCGCCCGGTGAGTGCCGCTGCTGGAGTCCCCCTTACTCCCTCCCCCCCATCTCTGGTCACTGGGGCCAGCTCAGGGCTCTGGGGGGCTCTGGAGGGCTCTGGGGGGGCAGGACGCACATCCCAGCCTCACTCCCTTCTGTGCCCCCCAGAGACCCCACCGCCCCCCTACTCAAAGGCGTCCTGCGGTCCCTCCTGGCCGGACGGGCCCCAGCACCCCGGCACCCAGCTCCTGGAGTTTGGCTACAACGCTGCCGCCTCTACCGCTGGCCCGACCTGCGCCAGCCCCATGAGCTCAAGCACCTCTGCTGCTGCGCGGGGGGGCGGGGGGGCTGCGGGGACACTGCCCTGCTCTGCTGCAACCCCCACCACTTCAGCCGCCTGGCTGCGCCCGGTGAGTGCCGCCACTCCCCGTGCCATAGCCTGTGCTGGGACATCCACTGGCGCCACGCGCATCCCTCTGTCGGCTCTGTCACCCCCTGCATGAACC